TTTTTATTTATTATTAGTATTAATTACTTAGTTCTTATCATTCGTGTATTATTTGAATCCGAATGTCCGTCAATCTGTACATGGTGTTCAAGAGGGTGTACTGGTTGAATATAAAACAGATGAAAGTCCAGTGAGATTTTCTTTGGCAGAGTGCAGGGAGGTCCGAGGGGTATCCTGTGGCTATACCCTAACATGATCCCTCGGACGTCCCACATTATATCCCTGGAACATCCAAAGGAGATCTCAGAAGGTGAAGAAAACAGACGTCCTTCGTGCTACATCCCTCGTATGCCCATGGGATATCTGCTACGGGACATGGGACGTCAGGATCTTTGTGGGACGTCCACGGGATGATCCCTTGCTATTGGGGTAAGATATCGACTGAAGATGTCTAAAAGACGTCCCGAAGATATCCCTTACGAGATGTCCGAAACCGTCCGAAAGAAGATGCCTTCAGGATATCCTATGAAGACATGGGGACAAGTCGTCCAGTTAGGGACATCCCTGGGATATCCCTGTGCTGTGTGGGTACGAGTCTAAGGAAGTCAGAGTAGCTTGTTCTTCGCTTATGGTGAAAAGTAATACGGTACATATTAGATTAAATAATACTGTACATATTTAAAAATGTTGAAGGGAAAAGCTATTCTCAGTTGCTAGTACTGTATCATTAGTCACTGCAGCATGGGTATTTGTATGGATTCTCTATCTTATTTTATTACTTTTTAATTATCTACATATACAGGGTGACCAATAAGTTACTACACCATTTCAAAAAGCAATATCTTCCAAACTACAAGATGCAGGTCAGTGTCTTTAATATTGATGGAAAGAACGATCTTTAGAATTACTCTCGAACTCGGTTATAACGTCATCGAAGGGACCAGGAAAAAATCGTCGTTATAACCGAGGTTCGTTATAAACAAGGCTGCCTTTATTGGCATCCGTTTTTCAAAATGGATGCTGTATTTAACGATACAACTCCTGTGTTCATCGGTCATGGTCGACTTGAGGGTCGGCGACCCGTTACAAAGGAAGGCAGGGAACTTGCAACAAACATTACGGTCACTATTCGCAGACCATCTTTTCTTTTTACTGCTAGCTTTCGGTCCCGTAGATTATGCTTTAAATTGTTTTGTCATCTACCAGTGCATCTGCGATACGGGAAAACAATGCAACCTTTGATGAACTCCCCCGCTCCGTATATCATCATGGACGCTTTAAATCCCTGTATTCCCGGCAGCAGGCGCCAGGCAATGCAGTGAACAATGGCATCGTTCCCTTGCGAGTAAAAAGGTAACACTCGTCTCCTCCTTTTCCCCAGAGATGGCGAGACGAGAGTGAAACAGCGATTTTCTGTGAAAGTTGACTCCCCTCCCTTTCGTGAGGCAGATTTGCAAATTTCATTTCGAAAAGGCACATCCTCGGATGATAAGAAACAGTTCTGTCGAAACCCCAAATTCATATCTCGAAGCGTTTGGCCTGGAGAGCTGTCACACACGAACTCATTCGACTAAAAAAAAAATTGTCGCTCTGGCTAGTTAGCGCCCAGATTCGCCCACGCTATATGTTTAACCACCGGTTTGAAATACTAGAGTACCTATTGGGATTTTTCTCAATTTCTCCCCCAATATCTTCATATTGAAGACAGCAGACGCCCATAGCCGTCTGTACCAGGCATTTGGGGAAGGAGTCATCAGCGAGAAGCCATGCTTCAATCGGTTCGCTCGCTTCGAGTCCAGAAACTATAGTGTCCAAGACGAGCCGAGTTCAGGGCGCCCATCGGAGTTAGACGATGAGGCGCTACTAAAACTCGTGAAAGCGTTCCCCGCATGACCATTCGCAACATGGGCGCCGTCCTAGTGTGCACCCGCTTTGCTATCGAACACCGCCTGTCCACAATCGGGAAGATCTCGAAGCTCGGGAGTTGCATACCCCATGCTTCGACAGGGAAGGACTTCGAGCAACGTTCCAACACCTGGGCACTTCTCCTCTCCCTCCGATGGCGCTTCGACTGGCTCGACGACCTCGTCACGGGGATGAGAAGTGGGTGATGTACGCAAACCATACCCGCAAGCGTCAGTGGATAGACGCCGATGAAGAGCCGGAGCCGGAGCTGAAAGGTGACTGCACCCCGGCAAGGTGATGCTCTCGGTCATGGACATTTGTCTTCTTATGAGCAGTAACATTATTAAATTGTGATATAGGCACACACAAAGTCAAACCTTTCATGCGTTTAACGCTAAAAATGTTTCTTTTTTGTTGTTGTTTATTTTGCATAGCACAGGTAATGAGTGAAACTCATGACATTCTAGGGAAGAATCAGAGGGTCCTCATCGTGCTTGCTCAATAATTGTAAGGATCCAATCCAAAAACCTGAAGGGAGAATGGAGAAGACGTGAGAATTTAAATCTGTATTGAAGGTTGGGGATATATGGAATACAAGAATGGAAGGAAACTGAAGAGCGAAAGAAATGCCATCTGACCGGTTGACTCTAGTGAAAATGCCATATTCGCCTGGACGCTTCATGGAGCAGGGCTCCCAGCTGAGATAGTGGCTCACGATTCCTTCAATCTGCCATTGCCTCAAGTCCTGAGTATAGAAGACCATCGGACTTCCTGAATCCCCAGAACACACCAATTGGAAACCTATACGCCAAGTAAAATAAATTTAATCAATATGGGCCTCGTGAATAGAAAACCTTTGCAAAAATTAACTCATACGGTCCTCTTTTCTCAAAGGGTACCACAATCCTCTACATCGACATGACCCAGTCTGCATAACCTTTGATTCAATCTGTTAAAATTATGCACGTTCAGTTCGTGCATACACTCGAGAATTAAAGTTTCACTTGATGTTGCTTATCTGTCACCAATGCTTTTGAAATGAGAAGCACACCATAAGCATTCCTGCTTCTGGCCGGTAACCATTTGTTGGCCAGTGAGGCTTAAATCCGTCATAATTAGTTAATCTCGTCGTTTTCAAACATTCCATCAACATATTCCAGCGCGAGGACCTATTTCTAGTGCTTCCTGGTGTGCGCATAGGGTTTTCGTTTCCTATGGGAGTCGTATCAGTGTGGCCAAAAAAACTGGGGTGTTTACCCTGGATGCATATAGACACAGGGATGAAATAAACATTTACAGATGAACATAATAATATATAGTAAATTTTCTTAAATATTTCAAGTGGTAACAAGGGGGAATATGTGAAACTGTTCAAAATTTCTTTCATTACAACTGCCGAAATGAACAAAAATTTTTACCAGCTGGCTATATTGCTCTTTGAATGATTTCTCCGTCTTCGTTTTTGTGCTTAAATATGTATTTCTGTTACCAACATTTGAAAACATACGACCTTTTTTTACACCGGGATTTACAAAACCTTGTCATTTCAGTCAGGGCTTGTGTATTTAAGCTCAGAAGGGGACTTCATGTCGATTATCCACGATAACAACAAACACAAATGCACAAATAATGATATCCTCATGTGTTGTTCTGTCTTCACCACGTTTTTTGCTTGGAATTTTCATGACATGTCAGATGATTTTGCCAGTGCCAGAATGGATAATATTTGAATTCGAAAACTCCAACGATTGGTCCTTTTCTCTTTTATTTCTTCATTAATTCAAGCAGTTTTCACGTATACCATACGTTTATCACTTAGGAGGTCAGGTCAAAACTCAGTGCTTGAAAGGTTAAACTTCTTGTGATTCACTAAGGTAATGAATATGAAGGGCTAATATCTTCATAAAATTTTATAAGATAATATCAGATAATGCACTAGTTTATTTAGTAAATCCAATTTCGAGACAATGAGAGCTGGACGTTCGGAATAACATTTCGAAAATAATTCCTCGTCGAAAAAGCAATTCTCTTGAAAACATTTACCCTCTTCAATACATACCTTCAGAAGTTTTCTCGTCGTGGCCGGCACAAAAAGACTGCCAGTTAAGTGTTCGTGTGGAGTCTTTCCCCTTTCGTTTTATGGTCTCTCTATGACAGTTGGCATTTGATAAAACTGGAATTTCAATCTCCGTCAATTCATCACTGGGGATATCCGAACCATTTGCACCCCACCCAGCCACCTGTCATCAAAACTCATGAATAACAAGAAATGAGAATGACAATAAATGATTAAGAAAGTGTGTGGAAAAAAAAAATCTCACCCATCCTATATTTCCATTCTGAAGATTTGTCTCGGAGAAGTGAAGGAACTGATATGTCGGAAGGCATATCAATTGCACCCGCTCGGTCAACTCTACTGGGTGGCTTAGTTTCAACAAGGCAATGTCAGAGTCGAGGTTGTATCGGTTGAAGCCACTATGAAGGATGACCGTAGAAACCTGGAGAGATTCCATATAAATTATTATGTGACACTGGACTATATCGGTGAAAAAGTAGAGGAAAGTAAGGTCACCTTCCTCTTTTCTACAAATTCGTCGTCCAAGGAGTCATTACGATAATGTTTTCCTAAATAAACGAGGAAATCTTCTTTGGGCCGAGGTCGTGCAGTGCCATCCACGGCGAGGCAATGAGCGGCGGTCAGAACCCAGTCTTCTCGTATGAGTGCCCCTCCACAAATGAGGAGCTCACGCTTGACGTCATAAATGGCCGCTTGCCAAGGCCACTTTCCAATTACTGAAGGTTTTCCACCTGCTGACAAACCCAGTGGCACTCTTTTCCCACAACCTACCTCCAGAGTAAAGCTGCTTCATAGTGACATTCCTATATGCGATGGATCTTCTTTTCATGAAATAGCATTGAAATGGAAACTCACCCGGCTCACAGAATTGATTTCTTCCACTCCATTGTCCGTTCATTTTGCAAATCCGACGCCGTGATTCCTTGAGAATATAATACTGGTTGCACTCGTATTCTACAACGGTTCCAGTTTCATACCTACCGTGTTTAATGCATTCTGTGTTGTTTTTGCCAACCTCTTCAGGTAGAGTGGCATCAACTATCCTGGAACAGGTAATCAATATTTTTGCGTAATTTCCTCATAATTGGAGACCACCACTTAATATTATTATGTCCAGAATAGTGTTTTACATCCTCACCTCATGCCGATACTTGGACAGGATTTTATTATAAAATGTCCATGTTCTATGTCAGCAAGTCGACTGCATCTGGTCTCACTACTGACTGGAAGAGACACGTGAAGCCAGTTCTCTGGTACATGTCAAACGAGAAAGGAAGAAGTGTCTTGTTCAAGAGGTCAGCGTGTAAGTCAAGTTCTGAGACCGTGAAGACTATAGCCACCAATTCAAAAACATTTTAGTGCTAAGGGCAGATATCGCTAAGGATAATGGGTTCCTAGCAATTATTACCTTCCATTGTACCAGTTCCAAAAAAGAGAAACCTGAGTACCTCCTGTTTCCAATTCCCATATGGCTCAACTTCCCTTACGGAGACACGTACATCATTCGGTGTCTATTGCGTTTGAATCTATTGCGTTTAATGCTTTTGCTTGCATATAATTCAAAGAAGAAGCTTTTTAATTCTACGAGGTAGCGATCTTGGGCTGAACTTCCTTGTGAAATATTTCCACCTTGGAGAGACTTCAAAATCCTCCATGAGGTGGTTCATCAACTTTACAAAATGTTTCTTCCATCCTCAAGCATTTCCAACCTGGAAGTTAGGGCTTTACTCTTTTAATCTTTAATAGCCTGAGATTACCTACTTTGACAAACAGTTCGAATAACATTGTAGAATACCACTAGCCTTCCTGCTGAAAAAATCACATGTGACATGCATGAGATTTTAAACCAGCGATCTAGTGCGGATTCTCAAGTTTCCCATGAGAACTTCGTGGGATCTCAATGAGATACATGTGAGACCTTTCAGGATTCATAGGATCCTCATAGTCCCCATGACGATGTATCGAAGTGCTATGACTAATCTTACTACTCTCGATAGAAACTCGGCGGATCTTATATGAAGTTATGACATCTCATCAGAAATTATGAATTCCTTGTGACTTTATTTTTTAGCTGAGTAAGTAACACGGCTTCGTCTTCTTGGCAAAGTCAGTCGAAAACTCTACTATGGAGTACTTTGTGCCACATTAATCCTTTGCCTCTCTCCGGTGCGACCAAAACGCCACATAGAGATATTCTGGCACTATTTTAGGAATCTGAGTAAAAGATAAGTGGCAGTTGAGAGTACTATTCGCCGTTCGCACCTGCGGGCTTGTCACCGGTTTCCTCATGGTGTGGTGCATCGAACATCTCCCGTTCTACAACGTGTGCTGCTTTTTTACCCATTCAGGCAGTATCTGAAGCTAGCCCACCACCAAATATTGAACGGTACTCATTTCGGATTCACTATACCCTTGCATCCATATCTATGCATCAAAAGTCAACTGAGACGATCAGAAATGTGACCCGGAGATTGTTGGCAATTTTATCGGTCTAACTGTCTTATATTTGGAATAAATTAACATTTCCATGCTGCAGTTGAAAATTGTATGAGAACTTTTATTGTCACTCCAGACATACATTTAATCTATGGGACTAAAGATATTCTACCGATAACCAGATTTATTGTTGTACTATCGAGTTTGTTTGCCCAAATGGCAAACAAACTCTCGATGGTCGCGCCTTTGGCGCTCCTTTGTCTGGTGTGGTGATTCATTCATTAACTTATTTTCAAGAAAAAATAGGCATTAAAAGTATTAGCCCATCGAAATGCGTATCGAGAGAGAACTAACCAATATTTTCATAGAAGTAATTACTCAAATTGTTTCTTTTGTGCTTAACTTCAACTCTCCTCATAATGTGCCAAAATGGATAATATTTTAAAAGCAAGTTCTGGACTCAGCAATTGAACAGGTGCATCAGAGCCAAGTTTCAACTTTTTCAGTTTTCTGTTTCCCGGAATTAGAAAGGATTCTGATGAATGTGCCTTCTGCAAAAAAAAAGTGCCCTCAGGGGTTTTACTTAAAAATATCTTTGGAAAAGCCGACGCAGCCGAAAGTTGTGCCCTAAGGGTATGCATTTCAAAAATGTGAATATATTCCAAACTCACCATCACCTCAGGTATTGGTGTGCCAAGATTCACCTTTCTATTTCTGCCCGATTCGGTAGGACGGAAAAAATGCATTTGAAAAGTCACTAAGCAAAAATATGCCCTCAAGGCATGTATCTGAAGCTTAAGGCATGTATCTCAAGCTTGACATTTTTTCTGAACCCAGAGCCTCAGTAGGCGCATAAATATCAACTTTCACCTTTCCATGATCATCCGTTTGACTCAAGTAAAAAAATCATTTAAAAATATATTGCATTGAAATTTGTGCCCCAGGGCATTTATCTTCAAAGTCTGAATTTTTCAGAACTCAGCCCAATTCGGTAGGAAAAAAATTACTTGAAAAAGTTAACCCCCCAATAACATGCCTCGAGGGCTTGCATCTGAAAATTGACATTTTTCCTGAACTGAGTGTCTCAGTAGGCACTCCCATGCCAAGTTTAAGCTTTCCATGTCTCTCCATTCGACTGAAGCAAACATATATATTTTAATACATCTCCCCCGAAATGGTGCCTTCGAAATTTCATTTTTTCTGACCTCTACATTCTTAAATGAAAATGTATTCCTAGTTTCATCTTTCTACCTTATCTAATACATGGTTAGAATTAGCGTCAGTCAATCATTCACTCAGTCACGATCGTCTATATATATTAGAAGTATCATACCTGCTGGTCTAGGTGTTGTCATCATTGTTGTCTTCATTGTTGTCATCATTGGCTGGCAGCATAGCTCCCCATGTCGACAATTGTCCACTTTCGAGAAAATTTCTGTTCCTGGCCGGCAGAGAGAATATAATTGGGCACTTACACACATGTATGGACATGGAGCGGGACAACTTTTCAATGCATCCAAGTCCAATTCTTGAAATTTCGTTCCATTGTTACATATCACTTTCACTCTGCTGAGGAAATTCGGATTAACTACAAGCCAACCAGCTACACAATCACAATAGATGGGATTGCCTGGAAAAAAAAGAAATACGAATCGTGGAATGAACGAGCTAGAGATGAATGGACATGGAGGATAGTACAAGAAGATGAGGCCGTGCAACTCACTCCAACTGAAATAATTTTCATTATGGAGGATGAGAATTCCATGTCCGAGCGATAAAACCTCCATGATGGGACGAAAGCTCTTCTCAGGCAGTGCAGTAATATTGTTGGAACTTAGGTCAACGGTTGTGTTCGGTGTCAGTCCTGCAATGAGCATTAGGGAACTTCTAAAACCAATTGGCTTCTAACTTTGAATATGTCCTACACAGGTATGATTGTATGAAGAGGTTTATAATTGCCGCCATATCAATTAAAATGGAGTGGAAATCAGTAACTGTATCTCATTGCTTCAAATAATTTAGCTTCCACTAATTCCATGCTTTAAAATATTTCAAAGGCTTTCAATAACAGATGGTTTGCACAAAAATCGCCAGACACGTCTGATTTCAATACATTGAATTTTCATTTAGGATAATAATTCAGAATAATTGCCATCCAAGGAAAATTAGCCCTCTCCCGGAAAATCGCACTAAAATTTCCAGGTGATGATACATTGTATCCATTCACTTGAGTAGGTTTTCTTTTACATAACAGACTGGGTGAATGATTTTCTTCAATGTTCATATTCCTTCTTTTAATTTCTAAGTGATGGATGACGAAAATATATCAGATATCTCCCTTTCTCAACCGTATAGAGCAGGGGTGCCCAAAGTGCAGTTCGCGGGCCGCATCCAGCATACAAAGTGCCTTAGAGAACATCCACTTTGGGCACCCCTGGTATAGAGCATTAACCTAAATTTAATCAAAATCGGAGTCTTCTATTGTAGTGTATTAATTCAACATGGAATTAACACATGAGGTCAAATCATGATTGGAATTGGAAACCTTGAATCCCGAAACTTTCTCACAGTTCACACGCCTTTTTTCTGCAGAAAGAAAACGCGTGTGAGCAAGAAGTGCAACAATGACATCAAACACCATTAGATGACAGAAAGCTAGCGCATTTCTTGGATACCGGTCATTATGTACCCTTTGGAATAGAAATATCTCGCGAACGACTCATGCATAGGCTTACTCGATCAAAAATTAGAGTACAAGTATCAGTAAATCGAGAATAGGAACATGTTACTCTAGATTGGCATCCTCAAGAGAAGTGACGTTCCATGGGTTGATCGGAAGGAAGAAAACAGCTGAGGAGGTAAGTTTTCTTTGGGGGAGACAGTAATTAACACTTTACTGCGGCATGATTCCCTGGTGACTGATAGAGCCAGAGACATGAATATGCTGCCTATAACTATACTGGATAGTGATAGGAGCGAACCCAGGGAACTTTTGGCGTCATGTTTTGTGGTAAGAGCCTGTTCCCGCCCATATGGCACATTCAAACTTCCCACTCGCACATCTCCCGTCTATACTCATACATTCACCCAGTATCATAGAGATTTCATGCTTCTATCCCGAACTTTGACTTCACCTTAAACAGGGAAGTACTCCTTAGGTCTAGAAGTACGAGATTGGAGACCATCTTTTTGCAATTGAACTTTCTAGCCTTGGGCGACAACATCAAGACCTATTCTGATGCGTAGATGGACTCGTCTCGAACAGCTAATAGAATCCCACCACACAAAGGGTGACAGATTGGATGGGTGTCAAACATTAAGTACTGAAAGGATGAATAAATTATTCTGAATGTTCGAAATACAAAACTAAGAAAAAAACATTTTGGACTGATTTCAATTAATTACAGACTCGTCTCACCCTTCGAGGAGCTCATTTGCGGAGTCTGAAGCACTGATCTAGTACCGGAAGTAGCAATAAAGTACTACTAAGTGGTACTCCATATGTAACGCACCAACAAAGAAAAAAAAAGATAGGTTATGGATTTTAATTAATGAGGTATAAAAGAACTCATCTTCCTGATTCATAGTGTGTTTCTTTACTCTCTCAAATCATACAGAAAAAAGTTCATAAGCAAAAACATTGAAAACATCTGGACATGCTTTTGAAATGGATACAAATATTGAACTTAAGTTGACAACTTTTTATTTATCCAGAAATGATTTCGTACCATAATCATCATTATCGATATAATTCTCAGCAACAAAATAGCCTCAATTACTGCGCAGTACACCTTTGCAATGCATGAATGTTCTTTTATTTTTCTTAATTCATTCTATCTCTTTTCTTTAGCTTTCAAAGAATTATTGATATATAAGGTACCATTCTCTCTGGGGCCGTCGGTTTCATTAGCAATTAATGAAGAAATTAGTTCTGAAGAAGTTCTTTTGTTGATTTCTTGAGACTCTTCAAAACACTGTCACATGTTCAATTTTTCCCACACACCTAAAAGAACGTGGTCTACCTGGCCGTTGTGCATCTGCAACAGTTCCGTACTCCCTAAATCTGGACATCGTCTGATGACATGCTCTGATGGAGCAACTTTAGCATGAAATTTTGTTCGATAAGCTCTTTGAGTAGCAATTATAGAGCAACCATTTCGAAAATAGTGGAGCGTTGTGTGTAGCTCCACTATAATAGTGGAGCGTTGCTAAAGTGTCCATTTTTCCATGTTTAAAAATTCTGGGGACAAACTTCCTGTTACATTCTAAGACACTGCGATTCGCATTCCTCGCTTGATCGCCCTTCTCAATGGCTAATACGGCCCGCTCAAACGCGTTAAGGTATTCTCAACATTACTGGCTTAGGCATAAGTAT